CCCCCCCCCCCCCCCGGGGGACGGCTCGGATCCCACGAGTGAATCGAAAGTTGGATCTAGGGAAACTTATAGGTCATAATGGAAGTATTTTGGTCCTAGACAAGGGAAGGAAAAGGTTCTTTCTGAAGTGAGATCCTTGAGTTGAAAGGAGACGTGTGATGAGCCACAAATGCTAGATGGTGGAAAGACCAAGGAGTCCCTCGTTGGAAACTGACAGATGGCTCCTTGCGATACGGATTTGACAAAACAAGAAAAAGAAACTTAGAGAAAACCTTGCTCATGCCAGGTGACAAGGAAAGGAAACCCTTTTTTCTCAATTAAGATCATTGAATTGGAAGGTGATGTGCAATTAGGCAGAAATGCTAGATGGTGGAAAGACCAAGGACCACAAGTTGGGGAAGATTGTGCCTCAATAGATGCTATTATTTTTGCTAGGTGGAATTTCATTGGCCGAACCAGCTTTGAAAAGAGCTTATTTACTGATGAGGATGACAGAAATAGGAAGAAACAGTTCCCGGTGTAACTTTTCAGGTTCCGTTCAAACTATTACAACCATCTGTGATGCTAGGCTTACTTTATCCAGAACAACTGAAGCAGTCAATCTCTTATCCTGTCTAGGCTAGAAAAATTGGATGAAGATCGAAATAGATTTTGACAAAGCTCACAAAAATGACTTCGCCATGACATATCTCAACAGCTACCCATCCTCCACTTATAGTCAGAATAAAAAGTAATTGTATCCTCTGAACTGCCTATTTTCTCTTTATTCACTGTCTTTTGGTATATAAATATTATCATTTTTATCATCGTGAACTATGCAATAAAGTTCAATATCAATCTTTTTTTCTTGTATGACTTTCAATTACCTTTATAAAATTTATAATGTCAGGAGGCACTACAATAAGCCATTAGTAAAGAAATATTTCAAATAAGACAAACCAAAATAATCCATGACAGCATGCATCAAAATGGACCCCCAAAAAGAAACAAAAGAATCTGTTTACAACTTACGTGCTGGAGAGTGGAAAGATACAATTACCGTGATTGCTAGAATTGCGATAATTACATTATTTTAAATTTGAAATATTCGAATAGATCAGAGTGTGATGTTCCAGAGAAAGGACCAACAAATACATGGAAGGAATTGATCTACACATTATGGGTTGTACCTGAGACAAGATTCACCGTCTGACAGCAGGAGCATCTCACTCTTGTTCCACCACGTGTATACATTAGCATCGTAGAGCAACCTCCACACACAAGTTGGGCCATTTCCATTCCTGCAGATTTCCATAACTTAGTTGATATGGCCAAAAAAACTCAATTATTTCAATTACAAAGTGCTTGATATAACTGGAAAATGCATCCTATTGATGCCAACCTAGAAGCAAACATTACATCATTTTTTTTTTTTTTTTCTCTCAGTCTCTCTCAATTCACTCCATGGCACCTCAATAGGCCATCTATGTGTGTAATTCCCCTATTGCATCTTCAAAAATGAATTCATGTCAAGCATGCATAAGAGCACAGCATGCCTACCCATGTTCAATGCAGGCAGTTTACATTGTATGGTCCCAGCATATAAATTCGGTCTCATGACAGCAATAACATGTATGTTGAAAACCACAACATATACTGCGCATAAACTTGTTGGCATGTATTCTCCTCTATTGCCTATTAGAATTTTCCGTGATATTTTGTTAAGTTATTAATTTCTCTGGCTTTTCTGTACTAAACCCTATTGGAAGTCACAGTGACACCCCTTAATGTATGGGTTTACTATCTGACCACCTCTTAACATTTTTAAAATGACCTGGACACCTCAATCAGAATGTGTTATGAAATGGCTGATTCACCCCACGAAATTAAACTTTTTCAGCCTTAAAAATTCAATCAAAATTGATCACAATCAGAAACATTTACAGGGGGGGACAGTATTGTATTTAAGGTGTTATTTGTAGTTTTTTTTTCAAATGTTGTCTTTTTCGGTGCCATTGGGGATCTTGGTATTTCAACTTTTAAATGTCAGGAAACCGTCATGTCAATATAAGATGTCAGGGGTGATCGGTTGATTAATATGCATGCCATTGGCAGCTCCTACGGCGACAGCTCTGAAGAACTACGTAGCGGTTGTGGCAGGTCGTCCTAAACCAACCAAGATGAAACCACTGAAAAACCTTCGGTTTTCCATCACGAGGCTACCATGGCCATGTAATCAAAGTAAATGTAAGTGGTGATGCTGTGATATACCCCAAAGCCTGTAAAAAAAAAAACCATTGACAATGACATATATAGACATATGATATGTGATACAGCCTTTTCAATTTAATTATAGAGACAAAAAAGGTCATATCATTTTGCTTTTCAACAAAGTTGCAACTTGATTTTTCTTATGATGTGAAGAACAATACCAAAAAAGGATGACAGCAAAAAAATTTGGTGAATCAAAAGCTTGTTTGTACATCCATCCCCAAGAAATTTTTAGCCAACTAGACTAACTAATTAAAACAATTGGTTAACTGTATTTGGTGCAACTTCATAGCAAGTTCCATTACATAAGACATTCTCAGTTCTTCACTTTTTTGTTCTTTTCTGGCCAAGTCACAGTCAAGCATTCATGAAAAAAATAATTAAAATGGCCACGTGGAAAGGGTTCATCGATTAATCCATTGGTAGATGCTTTCAGATATGCTATTAAATTGACAAATATAGTGATGGGCGATACCAGGTGGCGGGGCAGAGGTAATTGCATTACATAATGCGCAACGGACATTTGAAGCTCCTCTGGGATAAAGAAGAATGGTCCGACACCCATTGCACATAAGCTGGCTCTGCATAGCTGTAATTCCCAGGGAAAAGAAAAGGGAAGAAAAGCTAAAGCTTAAACTTGTGATCAAACCTCTCAAAGTTAGAATGAAACTACATAACAATTTATCACATGTGAGCAGAAAACTGCTATATATCAAAGTAAAAAAACAGAGCTCATGACTGCTTGGAACTTTGGACCATGAGTTTTTGACGGAGGTAACTTTGGGGACTTAAGCATATGAAAATATCCAACTGAATAGAGGCAATGAAGTTGTCTAACCGATTCCAATTGAGGAGAAATCTAATCTTGTTTTGCATAATTTTGTTAAGAAGCTGCTGCTTAACAAACCAACAGGATCACAAGGATGCCATATCAATCTTAAAAGTATACTGGACCCTTTACAGGGGAAAATAAAAAGCTCATTGTTCTTAAGTTCAAGCTCACTCTCCAGAATAGCCCCAATTTCATCCTAGAACTCTACCCTACCAAGCTACCAAGCCGCACTCAAGCGCTTTCTACTTTATCTCTCTGACACTAGTACTTGTGACCAAATGTACTCATTACCCATAAAAGAGTGCAACTAATTCTCTATATTTTTAGTACCTAACAACTTGAAAATCAAGGTAATTCCAACCCCTTCCTATCAAAGCCTAACCCATTCTTCCTCCCTTTTAAACTGTAAAACCCGTAGATTTCCATTGCCTCAACCTGCATAAATATTTGTGGCCTGTATATTTCAGATTTCCCTAGACTTTCCACCACCCCATCACAAAAGGACAAAGGATAAGGAACATTTTGAAAAACATGATAACCAAATTCAAGGAAAATCAACAAGATAGCTATAAGACAAAGGTGTACATTCAAAGAAAAGGGGGGCAGCCATTCACATAATGGTTATTAACTTCTTAAACACATCTAATTAATTTGATCTAATAATCAATGGATCAGTGAAAATCATAAGCTCTCCCAGAAAAAAGGACCATGTATCACCAAAGCATAACCTCTCTAAGTTTGGGATTGAAACTCAACTTCAAAAGTCTATAAAAGACTTTCAAAGCAAAGATTTATGGACCACACACTGGAATAAATTGTAAAATGACATTTCATTGTGTAACATCAAATCGAAGTTTCAACATACAACGCTGCAGAGTTTGATTTCACTAGAGTTTCTTTAGATCCAGACAGATTCTTCTAAAACAATCAGAAGAAAAGCATGGCGATACTCGTGGTCCAAATAACCGCTAATATTGTCTAATTTTTCAGGTATTTTGGGTCCCTGGAAAAAGAAAAACATATAATTCTCAGTGTAGCTTTTCAGCTTCTCACATCAATAGTAAAACACTTCAATTCAATCTCTCTCCATAAGGGGCTAACCTTTGTAGATCATAAGCATGATGTTTAAGCACATCTTACAATTTCCCAAAAGTACCATAGAAAACACCGAGTTCAATTCATCAAAAACTAGGGAAAATACAACAAATCAGACTCTCTTAATTTTACTTCAGATAGCAACCTATGCAATAATACTTTTTAAGAACGGATTTGTAAATCTGACCTTCTACAATATGGGGAAATTAAAAATGATGTACAAGAAAACAAAGAAACCCATATGCAAGCAACATGCCTCGTTTTATTTACACATTCCCAATAATTACAATCTGTTCTCACAGCGCAACAAGAATTTTCCCAGATAAATAAAAACCCAACTAACAAGGACCCAATTCATACTTGTTCAAGTGTATCACAAAAACATCCAATACCAATCAAAATTTAAAAATCAAACTACCCCGACATTAGAATTTATAAAATTCAAAGAAATTATTGACAAAAAAATCGTATTTCAATTCGATTAAATTTGAAGATAAACGATACTACGAAACATAAAAATTGAGGATTTAAAAAGAAAAAAACTTGTTACCCATTCAAAAGTCTTCACAGAATAGTATTGAAGACTCGGCTAGACGACCTCTGACAAATCTCTGAGGATGATATGCAAAACCCAGACAAAAATAGTACGAGGAGATCAGATTTTTCAAGATGGGTTTGGGGTATAGAATATTTTTCCTTTAGAAGGAATCGGATTTTATTATATTCTTCCCGTTGAAAGAAATATATTATTTTTTTCCTGTCTTCTTACCGTGTTTAGCTATTTACAACTCACAACATATAATTGGAAACTCCTTCGACCGACGTTGGCTACTTTTCTGTTCTTGTTCCTTTTGGTCAAAAGTCTATTGCATTACTACAACAAGCAGCTTCCCGTAAGCGGGATTTGGTTGGATGGATGTACGTAGAATAAGGTACAACCAATTACGAATAGCAGTGCTATAAGACTTGAATAATAAAATTTAAAAAATTATCAGTCAAATATATATTATCTCTTAAATGAGTAAATTTTATTAATTTTTTTTAATGAGACTCACTCAGTCAATGGATAATATACATTTAAATTTTAATTTTTGAATTCTATTTGTATTATATAATATTTTTCAATTTTTAATGTCAAAAATAAAAAGCGACTTGAGGGATAAATAAAAATTTTTTTGAATTTAATAGTACTTTTAAGGTGTGTTTGTTTAGAGGATCGGTATTTATGAGATTCACTAATGTATTTTATATTCTTCCAATACTGAAAAAAGTTAATATCGATAATAAAAATGAATGTGATTTCATCTCATGTTTGTTGGAACAATATGTTTTATTGTAGGACCCTTCAAGAAATATCTATTATGACACATCTCATATAGTAAATAGACATGTTTACCTCTAATATCATCCATTTTCATTTCTTGAGAAGGAGTAGTATAGTAATTGAAGAGGCTGGCCTCCATTATTACACGTGTTATGTCATTAAATGAGCCCACGTGAGGATGATAAGACAAAGCACTTGATCAGCCACTCAGTTCAATTGTTCGAGCTGAATTGATTAATGAGTTCAGCAAACAAAAAAAGAGCTCGACTCTTATCAAACCGAATTAATCTATGAGTTCAGCACTCATTATGACCGAACTGTTTGCAACAATATGTGGAAAGATAAAGATTCGTCTATAACTGAGGCATTCAGAGAAATGAATCAACGAAATTGTAGATATCAGGAAGAATTGTTTGAGAAATACCAGCGACTTTCCAAACTGAATCGTTAAATTGAAGGAAGGTGTGCCACTTTGAATCAAAAATCACGGAAACTTTAATGGTAGAATGATCTATAAAAGGTAGAGGAAACTAAGGTGAAAGGTACGCTGAACTCTCCCTTTCTTCTAGCAATCACCTTTGTCCCATTACTGACTTAAGCATCGGAGTGTCTTTGATCGAAGCACTTCGATCTTGGACAGTTTGTTCGTTTTGCAGGAATAGAAGATTGGGAGATCCAGTTCAGAAACAAATTTTTCTAGAAATATCCAGTCCAATTCCATTGAGGGGTAATTCATCCCTTTTTATTCCTTACATTTTTTGGCGCCGTCTGTGGGAAGATTTCCATCATTCGAAACGAAAAGTTACGATGTCAAAACTCAAAAGTGCTAGTAGATCACTTGTAGGTAGCTTTGCCATGGGTAATTCTAATATTGTACCACTTCCATCTGATAGCAACGTTAGGTTGCATATTAACAAAAGCTCATCTGGGCCCTATGAGGATGACGAGGTATCATTAGCAAGTCTCAAATGAACCATGAACCAGAACCAGCGCGAACAAGATCGTGGTGAATCCCTCCGTATCGAGGGGGAAAACCATTCCTTGGCGAAGTTGGTCTAGACCCTGCAGGACTGACTTGATGCTCATGATAAGTTGTTTAAGAAATCTTATGCCAAGTAAAAGGACCTGATAAAGGAGAATGAAGAATTGAAAGTCAAACTGAAGGAGATGATCAAAAAGGATAAGCGAGAGAGAGACAATCGATGAGAAAGTCCTGAAAAAAAAAGCATGATAGAACCAAGAATCCCAATGACGATAAGTATCTGCAGAAAAGACCTTGGATTCTGGAGGAGGACTCCTGGAAGCAGTAAATCACTAAAGAACTCAATAACCGCTTAAAAAGACCAGAACAGAGATCAGCCAGGGACCTAGTCAGGAGAACAATAGGGGAATACAGGGACAACTCGGATTCGTCACCCTTCACTTCATGGATTGAAAGGGGGCGAGTCTCGAGCAAGTTCACCATCCCAAATTTCAAACTTTACGACGGAAAAACTAACCTAGCCTCACACATCAGACATTACAGACAACTGATGACCATTCACCGAAGGAACGAACTACTACTTTGCACCATTTTCCCTAGCAGTCTTGGGGAGTTAGCCATGAAATGGTTTGACAGTTTGCCAAAAAAGATCAATAGATGGATGGTCACAATTAGCCGAGCAGTTCACAACTCGGTTCATTACTAGCAATTAGTAGCCAAAAGATGTTGGGCTCTGCTAACATTGAAGAAGAAGAATAATGAAACTCTGCGAGAGTACGCTCATCGTTATTGAGAAACAATGAATGAAGTCGAAGGATGTAATCATGAAATTACAATTGCATCCTTCAAAACCGGGTTGCCAAAGGAGAACCCTCTATACCAATCACTCACCAGAAGGCCAGCCACCGACTTGGAAGAATTGATGGCAAGGATTGAAAAGTATGTCAAAGTCAACGATAACTTATCTAGAGATGTGGTTAAAGAGCATCAAGGCAAGAGATAGTTCGGTCGTGAGAAGCAAACTGAGCCGATCAAAGAGGGGCAGAAGGAATAATGATAGGGAAGGCTATCCCCAAAAATCCCCTTTTCTTGGGGTAAATACGTTGTTCAAAGACCGATCTATAAGATATTGAATCAGATCAAGTCAAAGCCATTCTTCAAGTGGCCCAACAAGTTAACAGGAGATCCCTCTAAAAGAAATCCAAATTTTGGATGCTCATATCACCAGGATGTGGGGCATATGACTGAAAATTATCGATCTTTGAAGCAACATTTGGAAGAGCTGGTTCAGGCTAGACATCTCTCCTAGTTCGTTGAAGGTGGAGCAAGAGCTGACAGAGAAAGAATCGAGCCGAAAAGAGACTAGAAATGGCAGCTGGAGTGATAGACGTAATCCACACCGCCACAAAACCGCAAATGGCCACTAACAATACAGTTAGGAACTGCATCCAGAAAGCCGCAAAGGAAAGCGAGGTATTTGAATTGTGGTTGACCCCAAAAGTAAGGTCCAGAAAAATGAAATTAGAAGACTCAATAGAGATGATTTGCTTTTCTGAGCAGAATCTGATTAGGATTCATCAGCCGCATAATGACGCGTTGGTAATAACACTTAGGATTGCCAACTACGATGTCAAAAGAGTACTGATAGATCCAGGGAGTTCCTCCGAAATCATGTACATGGATCTCTTCGAGAAACTCGGCCTCAAGCCAGGGAATCTGAAGCCTTCAAATACTCCACTAATTGGCTTTAGCGGAAGAATAGTTCTTCCTAAGGGGAAGATCACACTGCCTGTAAAGACTGGGTCAGTTTGCATCATAATCGAGTTCTTGGTAGTGGATACGATCTCGACTTTTAATGTGATAACAGGCTGGTTCTGGTTACATAAGATGAAGATGATACCATCAACGTACCATCAGATGCTGAAATTCCCTTCATCTGAATGAATAGTAAACATCCGAGGAGATCAGGTTAGTTCCAGAACCTATTTACTGGCCTCGGTCAAAGCCAAAGATGGAAGAAGTTCGAGAGAGGAGTTTGATAGTTGAGGAGGCAAAATAGCAATCAACACCCAACAGCTCGGCTGGTTCCACCGAACAAGCTGTCGTGAAAAGCCCGAAAGGACCTTTAGGCACAGAAAAGGAAGTTACAAATCAAACAATCGAAGATTTGACTAAAGTACCTTTAGACAAGGATGGAAATTAAGAAAAATACTTTTTGCTAGGGATAGCTCTCAGCCCTGAGCAACAAAAAGAACTCGTCACCCTATTGCAAGAATACGCTGACATTTTTGCTTAGAACACAAGTGATATGCCCGACATACCATCTGAAGTGGCATGCCACCGATTAAACGTCGACTCTAGCTTCAAGCCAGTTAAGCAAAAGCTCAGGAGGTCGGCCCTATAGCATCAGGATACAGTCAAGGAGGAGGTAGCTCGACTTCTTGAATCCCAAACAATTAAGAAAGTACAATATCCAACCTGGCTGTCAAACACCGTTGTAGTAAAGAAGAAAAACGAAAAATGGAGAGTTTGTGTTGATTTCATTGACCTCAACAAAAGCTTGTCTAAAAAATAGCTTCCCTTTGCCAAAAATAGATCAGTCGATCGATGCAACTACCGGGCATGAGCAAATGAGCTTTCTTGGATGCCTACAAGGGGTACCACCAAATCCCCCTTGCCGAGGAAGATCAGGAAAAGACTGCCTTTATAACGCCAGAAGGGACTTACTTTTACAAGGTAATGCCCTTTGGGTTGAAGAATGCTAGAGCGACATATCAGAGGTTGGTAACTAAAATGTTCTCACATATGATAGGCAGTACTATAGAGGTTTACATTGACGATATGGTGGTTAAGAGTTGGAGGCCCATCAGTCACTGTTCTGACCTGAAAAGTACATTTGATGTTCTACGTAGATACAAGATGAAATTAAACGCTTCCAAGTGTGCATTGGGGGTTGGATAGGAAAAATTCCTTACAAATGTTAACCAGAATAGCAGCTGCGCTTGAAAGGTTCATATCCCGAGGGTCTGATAAGTGTAGACCTTTTCTTCCAATTGATCAAAGGAAGGAAGGGCGCACTTTGGAGTCAGGAATGCTAGAAAGCGTTCACAAATCTTAAAGCATACTTGAACACCCCACCAATCCTTTCGACCCCATCGCCCGAGGAAAAAAATTTTCTCTACCTACTTGTATCGGAATATACAGTGAATGGGGCATTGATGAGGAGTGATTGTGAAAAGCTGAAACCT